TGATGTGCATATATGTGCACCATGCTGTGAACGGACAGTGTGACCACCTTTGCAACACCGTTTTGATCAAATCGGCCTCAAAAAGTCTTCAAGCACTGCTTGAAACTCATGACTCCTGTCTGCAACCGACCAATCAAAACACACCTTTGGGACTCCGCCTCTTTGAGCTTCGGTTTCAGTTTATGTTTAAAATGCGGATTATAAACTACACACTAGTTTTTATTTCTGTTAACAGCCCAAGCTAAACAGGAGTTATCGCGTCTCGTCTCGTCTCGTCTTCCTCCGCTTATCCGGGTCCGGGTCGCGGGGGCAGCATCCCAACTAGGGAGCTCCAGGCCGTCCTCTCCCCGGCCTTGTCCACCAGCTCCTCCGGCAGGACCCCAAGGCGTTCCCGGACCAGATTGGAGATGTAACCTCTCCAACGTGTCCTGGGTCGACCCGGGGGCCTTCTGCCGGCAAGACATGCCCGAAACACCTCCCCGGGGAGGCGTCCAGGAGGCATCCTGACCAGATGCCCAAACCACCTCAACTGGCTCATTTCGATCCGGAGGAGCAGCGGTTCTACTTCGAGTCCCTCCCGAATGTCCGAGCTCCTCACCCTATCTCTAAGGCTGAGCCCGGCCACCCTACGGAGGAAACTCATTTCGGCCGCTTGTATCCGCGATCTCGTTCTTTCGGTCATTACCCAAAGCTCATGACCATAGGTGAGGATTGGGACGTAGAACGACCGGTAAATCGAGAGCCTGGCTTTCTGGCTCAGCTCCCTCTTCCCCACGACAGATCGGCTCAGCGTCCGCATCACTGCAGACGCCGAACCAATCCGCCTGTCGATCTCCCGATCCCTCCTACCCTCACTCGTGAACAAGACCCCGAGATACTTAAACTCCTCCACTTGAGGTAGGACCTCTCCCCCGACCCGGAGGTGGCAAGCCACCCTTTTCCGGTCGGGAACCATGGTCTCCGATTTGGAGGTGCTGATCCTCATCCCAGCCGCTTCACATTCGGCCGCGAACCTACCCAGCAAGAGCTGAAGGTCAGAGCTGGATGAAGCTAGGAGGACCACATCATCCGCAAAAAGCAGAGACGAGATTCTCCTGCCACCAAACTCGACACACTCCACACCACGGCTGCGTCTAGAAATTCTGTCCATAAAAGTGATGAACAGAACCGGTGACAAAGGGCAGCCCTGGCGGAGTCCAACCCTCACTGGGAACAGGTACGACTTACTACCGGCTATGCAGACCAAACTCACGCTCCTCTGGTAAAGGGACTGAATGGCCCTTAACAGAAAGCCACCCACCCCATACTCCTGGAGCGTCCCCCACAGGGTGCCCCTGGGGACACGGTCATAAGCCTTCTCCAAATCCACAAAGCACATGTGGATTGGTCGGGCAAACTCCCATGCCCCCTCCATCACCCTTGCAAGGGTATAGAGCTGGTCCACAGTTCCACGGCCAGGACGAAAACCACATTGCTCCTCCTCTATCTGAGATTCAACTATCGATCGGACCCTCCTCTCCAGTACCTTGGAGTAGACCTTTCCAGGGAGGCTGAGGAGTGTGATCCCCCTATAGTTGGAACACACCCTCAGGTCACCCTTCTTAAAGATGGGGACCACCACCCCGGTCTGCCACTCCCTAGGAACTGCCCCCGATGACCACGCAATGTTGTAGAGACGTGTCAACCATGACAGCCCTACAACATCCATAGCCTTGAGATACCCAGGACGAACCTCATCCGCCCCCGGGGCTCCGCCGCTGTGTAGTTGTTTGACTACCTCAGCAACTTCTGCCCCCGAGATCGGACAGTCCATCCCCAGGCCTCCCAGCTCTGGTTCCTCCTCGGAATGCGCATTGGTGGGATTGAGGAGCTCCTCAAAGTATTCCTTCCACCGTCCGACTATAGCCTCAGTTGACGTCAGCAGCTCCCCATCCCCACTGTAAACAGTGTGAGCGAGTTGCTGCCTTCCTCTCCTGAGGCGCCGGACAGTTTGCCAGAACCTCTTTGGAGCCGATCGATAGTCTTTCTCCATGGCCTCACCAAACTCCTCCCACGCCCGAGATTTTGCCTCGGCAACTGCCACTGCTGCACCCCGCTTGGCTATCCGGTACCTGTCTGCTGCCTCCGGAGACCCACTGACCAGCCACGCCCTGTAGGCCTCCTTCTTCAGCTTGACGGCTCCCCGAACCTCTGGTGTCCACCAGCGGGTACGGGGGTTGCCACCACGACTGGCACCGGCCACCTTACGACCACAGCTAGCAACAGCCGCCTTGACAATCGCAGAGTGGAACAAGGCCCACTCGGACTCAATGTCCCCCACTGCTCTCGGGACGTGGTCAAAGCTCTGCCGGAGGTGGGAGTTGAAGACCGTCTTGACAGGTTCTTCTGCCAGGCGTTCCCAGCAGACCCTCACTATGCGTTTGGGTCTGCCAGGTCTACGCGGCATGTTCCCTTGCCATCTGATCCAACTCACCACCAGGTGGTGATCAGTTGACAGCTCCGCCCCTCTCTTCACTCGGGTGTCCAAAACATACGGCCGCAGGTCAGATAATACGACTACAAAATCTATCATCGACCTGTGACCTAGGCTGCCCTGGTACCGAGTGTACCGGTGGGCATCCTTATGTTCGAACATGGTGTTCGTTATGGCCAAACTGCGGCTTGCACAGAAGTCCAATAACAAAACACCGCTCGAGTTCAGATTAGGTGGGCCGTTCCTCCCAATCACACCCCTCCAGGTCAAGCTGTCATTGCCCACGTGAGCATTGAAGTCCCCCAGCAGGACAATGGAGTCCCCTGATGGAGCACTATCTAGCACTCGTCCCAGGGACTCCAAAAAGGGTGGGTACTCTGAACTGATATTTGGCCCATAAGCACAAACAACAGTCAGGACCCGTTCCCCGACCCGAAGGCGCAAGGAAGCTACCCTCTTGTCCCCCGGGGTAAACCCCAACACACAGGCAGAGAGTCTCGGGGCTAACAAAAAGCCAACCCCAGCCCTCCGCCTCTCACCCGGAGCAACTCCAGCAAAGCAGAGTGTCCAACCCCTCTCCAGGTCTCGGGTTCCAGAGCCAATGCAATGTGTCGAGGTGAGTCCGACTATATCTAGCCGGTACCGCTCAACCTCTGCCACAAGCTCCGGCTCCTTCCCCGCCAGCGAGGTGACGTTCCATGTCCCAAAAACTAGTTTTCTTGTCCGGGGATTGGACCGCCAAGGCTCCCGCCTTGGTCTGCCACCCGATTCACATTGCACCGGACCCTTCATGTTCCTCCTGCGGGTGGTGGGTCCACAGTTGGACGAGCCCATGTATCCGGTTCGGGCTGGGCCCGGCCGGGCCCCATGGGCGAAAGCCCGGCCACCAGGCGCTCGCTCACGGGCCCCAACCCCAGGCCTGGCTCCAGAGTGGGACCCCGGTAACCCTCCGGGCCGGGTACTCCGACTCTTCGTTTTAACCGCCATGAAAGATCCTTCGAACCGTTCTTTGTCTCACCCTTCACCTAAGACCAATTTGTCATGGGAGACCCTACCAGGGGCACTAAGTGCCCCAGACAACATAGCTCCTAGGAGCCCAAGCTAAACAGGAGTTATACTAAAATAATTAAACTACATTTTTAGACCATCAGATAAATTGTGAAAACCGTGATTTTGCGATCTGTGAGAGCTGAGAGGAGACTAGCTCACGAACATAAAAAATAAAACACAAAAACATGAGATCCCTTTTCTGTTGGTGGAAATCTCACATATTCAGCTGATAACGATGGTTCAGTAGCGTTTTGCTGCAGAGGGACAGAGGACGCGCTGTGATGGCGGGAGTGAGCTGCCACACGAAGCCGAGCTGCAGAGCAGTGAGACCAAATTCACGGCAAAACTTTAGATATCGCAGCGATCTGTGAAAGATTGTTACTTCTCTGTAGTTTAGTTGGTTCTTATGGAGGAGAAGGATGAATGGCCAGCTGACAGCTCAGCTGTTTAGCTGGAAGACGGGAAAAGGAGACCTGCAGCCAGAGTCTGACGCCAAAACGAGGGTTTTAAAACCGAAGCTTCCTCTTTGAGGAAGATGAGTTGGGCCATGAACCGACACTAAAACTAAGTGTTTATTTTTTCAGTTTTGTTTGGGTTAGCGGTCTGCTTAGTGACGTATACTTCGGTAGGTGCGCTATGACGCAGAGCGTCCTGCTGGAGAGAGACGTCGTGCAGTCTGCCTCACTTGCGCCGTACAATGTTCCACCTTTCTGGAGTTCTCAGTGTGACATGAACAATCCTGTTCGACGGCCAAAAACCGCACAGTGTGACCCGGGAATGGACAAGGAGGGAACGGCAATGATTGTCACTTCTGTTTTGGCAGGTGGAGTTTGCCCATGGTGATAGCAGAAGTTTCTGTAGAGACGGAAAAGCAGCTGTCCTAAGGCTGATCCCTGAGGAACACCGCTATGACCCTTTTCTAATGGAGGACATGGAGGAGGTGTTAAACAGCCTCCTAGAGGCTGATAAGTCTGTTCTCACTTATTTAGAGGAATTATTAAAACACACTGCTTACTGCTAATCTAAGACAGAGATACACATGTTCTAATTCAAATGGATTAATTGAAAGAACGCTATTCCGCGGCTCTACTTCATGTCTTTCAGCTGTTGGTATGTATCGTAAACAGCAGCGGGAACATTAGTTGGTTTGTAAGAGTGTAACACAAAAATAGTTGTTTTTTCAGCCGTTTTAAAAACAATCATCTTTAAAAATAAACTGTAAGGCAGAGGGAAATTCACAGCAAGGAAGGAACTGTCAACTGAAACCATCAGCATCAAATGAAAGTCCTGTTGAACCATTCCAGTAAACTGCGAGCTACAGACCGTGTGCTAAACAGGTTAGATACACCTAAAATCTTGGCTGGTGAGAGTTTCTCCTGCCAGAGTGGGGACTTTTAAACACAGAGGATTGGACTGAAGCTTTTAGACACATCCATAATGGATGTTATAAAAATCAGAGTTCATCTCCTCTACTCACCGTTTCTGGTGAGGATGACCGCGATGTACTGCTGGCTGAAGGTGCTGACAGTCAGCAGCATGGACGGCCTCTGGGAGGTGACGAAGCTGAAGGCCACATCCTCTCTGGCCCTGCTGTCTTTGGAAACACTGGAGACTTGAGAACTCCTGTTCTGCATCACCGAGAAGGGCTCCTGGAAGGTGTAGGTCACCGAGGACTCTCTGTCGAAGGACACGGACACCTCTGCAGGGACACACAAAGGGTAGCTTTCAGTGCAGCGAGCTTCCACAGTCCACACAAAGTTATCAGTAAGGGGAATCAGAAAGGACGTCCCTTTAGAGCTGACATGAAACCCACACACTATTAAAACAGCATCAGTGGATATTACTGACAAAAGCATCACCGTAATTGTCTGACTGAGCTGAGGTGTCCTTAAACACGTAGCTTTGTGGACATATGTTCCTTCCTTCCTAAAATAGTCAGCATTAGTGTCCCTCGCTCAGCGCCTGCTAGCATCAAAACATGTTGCAGCATTTCTTCTTTCATTACTTGGAGCAATTTATCAGATGGCTTCCTCTGGGGCCACCGGAGCCTCCGTACGACACTTTCCCCTTCATACAGAGCTATTCCCTGAGCCCTACAAACAACTTTGATGTGTAAAATTGGCACGTTTTCCTTTCCTTTGCCGTTTTCCTTTAAGACAGCCCATCATCCCAGACTAGCTGCTGAAAGCAAGCTGTGCTCCAGTGTTCTTGTACTATTTTATTTTGAGCTTTCATGCCTTTTTTTGTTTAATAAAGGGCAGATGTTGGTTCTGAAGGAGTGAGGCCTGGTGAGAGCTGTGCTGCGGTGGGGAAGTGCTGATGATGCTGCAGTGACCTCCACATGGGCTGCTTTTTAATGCATCAAAACAAAGTTAACCACCAGATTCACTTTGCCATTTCCTGTAGGGTGAAAAGCAGAGGGGATGCGTGTAAATGATCACATGGCTCCCCACCATCCTCACATTACCGCAACAACACATTTGCATCAGGAGTGGCTCAGCTGTGCAGCCACAAAGCCCCGGTGAAGCGCATCGGATGATCTGGAGGCGACTGCTGCTGATCTTAGCTGGTGCCAGAAGTTTGCTTCTGCCTCTTTAATTACACCCACAACAACCGTGGCAGCACACAGTAGGACAACACATAACTAACATCATGATGTTTAAGTAGCCAATCAGCAGGCAGGAGGACTTCCTGATGAATACAAACACAGTCACAGCTGTCACTGTCACCATCCAAGCAGAGTTCTGCACTTTTTGTGCTACGTTCAACGATACAAATGGTGAAATAAAAATGTGATTATAGCAAAATGGATGGATGGATCCAGTCAAACATCTGGGCTGCAAATTGTAATGGTGCATCAGTTGTGACTATAACAGACGAGGAACATATCTGAGATAAAAGGACAAATCATGTGTGTGTGACTTTTATGATGGTGATGATCCATTTCTCTGTAATGCATGGATTTGTGGCACACACACACACACACACACACACACACACACACACACACACACACACACACACACACACACACACACACACACACACACACACACACACACACTGATTTTATGAGTTTAAGGTAATGCATGCTGCTGAGACATGACAGATGTTTTTTCCTGGCTGTGGTTGCTTCTCTAATGATGACTCCACCCACCTTACATGAAACCCTGGTTCCGTTACTGAGCTCGTTCTCCTTCCTTAAGTTCCAGTACATATAAGAAGCTGAGTCTGTTCATGTGAAGCAGCAAGAAGCTCCACCCCTCACACACCCCATAATTTAACAAGCTGGGGGAGAAGGATGGACACAAAAATTCATTCCACATCATTAGAGAGAAAGGCGATATAATCATCAGATTCCTCGTCTTTCAGCTGCTGCAGTTTTACTGAGTTTAATTGTTCCTTCAAACATTAGTTCAACTGTTGTAAAACTTGTTGCACTGAATCAGGAGAGAAGATTAAAACATTTACATCCACTAGAGAGGGAGTGTTCTGTCTGCCATGCAGCCTCTGAATGTTACCGAGTCTGATGTTCAAACAGGAACGTACAGGGCAACAGTGAACATGATGCTCTCCATTCACTTACACACACATGCGCGCGCACACGCACACACATGCACACGCACACACACGCACACACACACACACACACACACACACACACACACACACACACACACACACACACACACACACACACACACACACACACACACACACACACACACTAGGGTGACCAGATCCCAACGTGTCACATTATTGCTCCCCTGTGCCTAGAGTTTTTCCTTAATTGTGTCCACCTGCCTCTTACCTGATTACCCATTCCAGTGTGTATATAAGCCTTGTGTGTTGCTTGTGGTTTTGTCGGTTCTTACTCGTTACATGTCAGTTTTTGTTCACATCCGTCTACCCTGTCGTGTCTGCACTCCTAACCATTAAAAGGAACCAAATGTCTGCTGCTGTCTGGCCTGGGTTGATTCACCTGCCTGAAGGATCCGCTCTTCCTCCCTCACCTTCCCTCCACATCGTGACACAACGTGCCAAATGTGGGACAACGTGAAGTTCCAATGAGAAAAAAACCAAACAAACGTATGTTCTGCGTTTTAGCCCTAACATCACTGTTACATATACATACAATTATATTTTATTATCATATGTTTCTTGTATATGTTTTATTTGAATTCAGCAGGAACACGCATACAGCAACAGCTTTACTATCTCACAGTTCCTCTCAAGTCACCACAACATGACTCTGTAGTGGCTCTGATCATTTTAATAATACAGATATAAGCCCACAATAATACAAACATGCAGGTTTAAGTAGCTTTTCAGGGTTTTCATTCAATGTTTTCCACAACAGAATGACAGTAAAAGTAGCAGTAATATTTTTAGACGTATTTATGTTTGTTTTTAATTGATTTTCCACTAAAATAAGCGTCTCATAGAAAAAAAATCCATACTTCTTTGTTATTTTTCCTCATAATTCAGAAACAAAACGTTTTTTTTTAAACATGACAATAAATCTCTTCTAGATTTTAGGTGAGAGAATAAACATCAGATTATAATCTCTAAAAAATTTAGATCTAATCTAATAAAAGTTTCTTTGAGTTACTTGTTGCCTCAAATGTCTGAGAATAAGTGATGATAGCTTCCATTTGTTCTCCTTATGTCTTCACTGTGCTTTAAGGGGCTCAGCATGTAAGCAGGTATCTGAAACCGCAGCACCGTGTCTGTGTTAGAGCCTCCACTGTGTTCATCATGGACCTGTCTAATTACTGGAACTCCTGCTTTTGACCTCTTCAGATCAGACTCCGCGCCGAGACATGAAGAATGACTCAGAAACAACAAAGACTGTCGAGTATCTTTGAACATGTTTAATTCATGAGTTTACCGCATGTTCTCCTCCGTGCTCACTCACTCTTGTTTTGGTGGTTCGGGCGCTCCACGCACGCTCTGGATCTGCGTTAAAGTCCCGCCTCCGTTTGATTGACAGCAACAGGCAGTTTTCTCCACAGTTTCTTCCATGAGATTGAAACTCGAAACGGGAAACTGTCAACAATGCGGGACACGTGAAAATGCAGGACTGCCCCACACAAAGCCGGACATGGGGCAGCAGCAGCTCAACAAGTTGAGCGGGTTGTCCAGTAATCAGAAGGTTGCAGGTTCAATTCCAGCTCTGGACAGAGAATTCTGCTGTTGTGTCCTTGTGCAAGACACTTAACCCACCTTGCCTGCTGGTGGTGGTCAGAGGGACTGGTGGCGCCTGTGCTCGCCTGCCTCACCTCTGTCATTGCGCCCCAGGGCAGCTGTGGCTACATCGTAGCTCATCACCATCAGTGTGTGAATGTGTGAGTGAATGGATGAATGATACACTGTAGTGTAAAGCACTTTGGAGTCCTTACTCTGAGAGGTGCTATACAAGTGCGGATCATTTATCATTTATCATGTACTGGTCACCCTAGCACACACACACACACACACACACACACACACACACACACACACACACACACACACACACACACACACACACACACACACACACACACGCGCGCACACACACACACACAAATGTCCATCTCACCCTCTGTGGATGGTCTCATCCTTCCAAGCCCGGGTCCTCTACCAGAGGCCTGGGAGGTTGGTTTTTGCAACATTCATATTAGGGAGGGTGGAGCCGTAGCGCCCCCTATGGATGAGCCAACACTGACCTTACTTCCGTTAGTGTAGTAATGTAATGTCTCCCCTGGTTCATGTCATTCACCTCTGATCACATTTAGTTTTTTCATCTCAAAGGTCTCCAGTCACCGTGTGCTTTGCTTCAAACAACAGACTTCCTTCTTGTTTGTTCAAAACCGGTCCAAATCTCTGTTTCTGTTTAGTCCCTGTTGATGATTCCATAATCCATCCCGGCCCTACGCACTGTCAACCATCTCCATGAGTAACTTAGCACTAACAGCATCTCATCCACCCTCCTGCTATGCCTCATCTCCTTGTCCACTGGACACTTCACTCCCAGTCCCACCGTCTGGTATCACATCCTCCTCACTTTCAAAGCTCTCCATAATCGGACTCCCCCACATCTCTCTAAAGTGCTCCAGCCTCTCCAACACAGATCATCTTCCCAGCTCTTCTCACCTGCCAGCACACCCTCAGCAGCTCCTACAGCTTTCATCTATTACGTTTTATGGATATATTTTTGACTTGTTGTAACTGTAGGGAAACAATCACGACGCAGTACGTCAACGGTGTCGGTGTGCTGGTATCACAACCTGAGGAGCTGTGACATCATGCTCACACTGCTTTGCCCCAGCTGCAGCCAGATGTGCTCCCACAGAGAGCCAGTTTGCTCAGCCCGCTCCTCGGTCTGAGTGGCTGGAGATGCTCACACACTGCAGCACATCATTTGTTCTAATGCATTTTAAATGTTCTCACATTCTGCAGTCTGGACAAGTATTAATTGCCCCTCGCATTGCTTGTATTCCTATTGGTTCTCTGTAATGGTATAGCCTTGACAGTGATGGATTTTCTGTTTGCTCTAACCAGCATTAATTGATTAAAGGAATTACAGCGTGCAGCTTTTGTTTAGAGACGCACGACTCACCTTGGTTGCAGGTGGTCCCTCCGTAGGCAGACTGTGAGCAGTCACAGATGTAGCCATTGTTCTTTTCAATGCAGCGCCCTCGGTTGTGGCAGAGGCTGCTGGAGCCGCTGCAGTAGCCGGGGCAGCCGGAGGTCACTCCTGGTGTCATCTTGGCCCTCTCCTCCAGGTCGACGCTCCTGCCGTTGACCGTGAGAGACCTTATGCAACCCAGGAAGCCCCTCTGCTGGGATGCGGTTCCTCCTGACAACACGGAAACACGCTGGTATGAAATCCCAACTCAAGTCTACTAAACAGTTAATTACACAGGCTTTAAGAGAGACACAAAGAAGGAAAACACAGTGGTAGTTGAACATTTTCCCCTCGCAGAGGTGGTAAAGTGATGGTTTGGGATGGAAAATAAATCATACAGTTGTGTCTGTAATTTATTTGCGAGAGAGAAAAAAACACAATCCTGAGGGTATAATCTCCTTTCACGATCCCTTAAGGCTGAAAAATGATGCTTGTTAAATCCTGAACTGTTTCAGATGAAGAGAAGCTCTGCAGCATTTCTTATGACGTCTCTTATTTGAAATCCGGCTGGTGGAAGAGAAATTGTAGCTGCTCGTGTGATGTGGTGTGTGAGTGCTGGTTGATGCTGTTAACCCTTCCCCCCACTGAGGTCCTGGTGGCAGGAGTCATTACAACACGACCCACGGCTGCCATCTTTACGGGCTGAGTGCATAAAGATGCTCGCTGGGTTTGAATGAACGCCGTGCTTCGTTTCTGATGCATCAAACGCCGTAGAGCGGCGTGAAGGAGCTGCGTCATAACTCACTACGATGAGGACTTTTCTCCCACTTGAGATAAACCAGCTAGTTAAAATCTGATGGCAACACTCCTTGTTGTTTGGAAGGCCTTGCCGTAGGTAACCGCGGTAACCCAGGACACACGAGGAGCCTCTGCCGCATTCCCTGCAGCTCTACACCCTACAGCTGGTTTTGTGAATATAAAATGTGTGGAAATGAAACTGCTTGTGGGAGGATTGTCACCTTCATTTGTCCCTTTGCTCATCCTATAAATAACTTTGATGGTAAATGGACCATTAGGTGCATGGGCAGTGGCCCCAGCTGGAGAGAAGATGAATAAGGCAGGTTTTTACGGTGCTCTATAACGACGTGTGTTGTTAAAGAGACACGTCCAAATGTCAGGGTGGAGACGGCTAAACAATCACGTAAAATAGATCTGTTCACATTAGCTTCCTGGAGGTGGTCCTCAGAGGTTCTGGTCCATCCTGACACGGCAGACTCAGCTCCATCCATGAAGAGAACCTCCCGGTGCACCATATCCCAAAGGTTCTGGACTGGACGGAGCTCTGGTGGCTGAGGAGGTTGTTGGAGTCTGATGAACTCAGGGCCATGTTCTAGAAATCAGTTCGAGATGATCTGAGCTTTGTGACATGGTGCTGGACATGTTCATGCTGGAAGCAGCATCAGAAGATCAGATAATGTAGGATGCAGCTCAAATCAGACCAATATGACCAGTCTCTTGTGGTCCAGTTCTGGTGATCCAGTGGGAATAGTCACCTCAGGTTTCTGCTCTTGGCTGACAAGAGAGACACCTGGTGTGTCCTCTGCTGCTGGCTCCATCTGGAGCAGATGGGTGGTTCTGCAGGCCTCGGTAGGAACCTGAGCGGATCTGTCTTTCTGTCAGCTAGAACCAGTCCGACCAGTCTCTGGTTGTGGGTTCCAATTCCAGCAGACCAGGCTGTCTGATACCAACAACCAAAGTCTGTTGAATCTCCTTTCCTCTCCATCCCGACGCTGAGGCCGAACTGTGAGCTAGGTCCACAAACGCTGCCGTCTGATTGGCCGATGTGCACAACAGAATGGTGATCATCCTTATCTGATTTCATAGTGAGATGAGAACCCACCAGCTTTGTATTTGCTGTTGCAAAACCATGTCCCAGTCTTTCTATTAAAATCAATGGTAGGAGACAATAATCTAGAGATAATCTGAGATTAGAAACTCAACAGTAGTTGGGAATATCAGCTTCTCACCAGCTGCAGACTCTCTAAGATCCAGATATCCAACACTCAGAGTTCAAACATGTATATTTGCTGTTGTGTGATTTATTTACCGCAGATCTTCTATTCTCAGCTGTGAGTTAGAAGATCTTGTCTGGTACATTATTTATTCCAGCTTTCACACACCAGGGTTGTGTTCTCGAGAGAAAACAAACCTGGCTTTTATAAAAGATTCCTGCCACATGTAATCTTTTGTTTTACAAGCTCCCTCTGATCTTCAGTCCTCATCACAACAGTGTGAATTAGTGATGCTGGGAAAGCCTGAGTGTGCATTTGTTATGGTTTAGCATTCTGATTGCAAACGTTTTAAAGCATCTCATGAGTTTGTTCCATAAAACCGGCTTCAATACATGTTAATTACATTTGAATCAGGTTTGTTCATCAGAGGAACTCCTTTATGACAGCTGAGAAAACGAGACATCGACAATAAAACTGGCCTTTGAGGCTGCACTAATGAATATTTAGTTAGTAAATAAAGGCGAGCGCGGGCCCTTCAGCTACCTGCTTTGGTTTGAACTTAAAGATTTGTGGCTGCGGCAGCCTCTAAAAGCCCAGCATCCTCGTGTTCAGCAGCTGCTGTTAGTAAAACAAAATCTGTCGTTCGTCAGCAGCAACAAACAGCAGATGGACAAAGTCGGCGCCTGGCTGCCGCATACAGGAGTCTGAGGAGAAGGGAACCGGACCTCCAGCCTGCTCTGCTGCTTTCATCATCAGAACCAGCAAACATCACAGCAGCTTCAGGTCCCACCCAGCTCCAAGAGCGAACATCTACCGAAGACAAATTCCTTGTAAATGTAATTTTACTTGGCCAATAAATCTGAAATCTGAATCTGAAGTCCTTCTTCTGCGGTTCTGTTTGTTTCTGAATGAGCAAAGAGTTGTTAACACACTGGGATGTTTGGGAAACCAGTTCATGCGACAGTGCGTTTTCCTGCTGGAAGGATCCACAGAGCTCCACAGCACTCCAGTGGACTTCCAGGTTCATCATAATTCATTCAGATTTTCATGAAAAGTTCCTGAAACCAGGAAGGTTCTCCACTGGCGTTCAGGACTCTGACCCAGTGGAGCAGCCAGAGCTGGAGTTCCCTCCAGCCTAAGCCACGACGTCTGGATTAGAGCAGCTGCTGACACCTGACCTCCAACACCGGATAGCTCCAGGAGTCGCATCAGGAGCTTCTCCCCACATGCTGAGTGTTGGTGATTTCTGCTGCTCATTGTCACATTCTCATCAGCAGCTCCACACACAGACTCCTGGATAGGGTTGGGCATCGTTTCCTTTTGAACGATTCCAATTCCTCATTTCGATTCCGGTTCCTATCAATTCCCGATTCCGATTCTTTGAAGACATGACACGTTTTACACGAGCCATCTAACCACAGGTCCTACTTGATGAAATAATCTCAACTTCAGCATGAATTTTAATTCTATGAACAACAACATCACCTTCATTTTGACAAAAACATGTTTTGAAGAAAAAAAGAAGACGACTTGCAGCACAACCAGTGTGTTTGTTTCTGACCACAACCAAAGTCTGGAAGAAGCCTCTGGGATGAGAGGCTAAATGTCTCCAACACATCCAGAAACGTCCAGCTGTTTTCAGCTAAAACTCTCAGGATGATCATGTCCAGGATGACTGAGAACTACACCTCCATGCTGCAGCAGCATTCAGTCAGGACAGGAAGTGAAACTTAAAAGTAGCTGCTGTCAGTAACAATCTAACATATTTTAAACATTAAAACTCAACAGAAATAGTTCAGAAAGGAAATTAAAATGTTCACAACTTTGTGTGTGATTTATAATAATAATAATAATAATAATAATAATAATAATAATAATTATTATTATTATTATTATTATTATTATTATTATAAGCTGGTGTGGTCCACCACAGAGAAGCTGCTCTAGCATGATGGCTTTAATCATTCTACATGTTATTGTTCAGCCTTCTGACACTCACACACACACACACACACACACACACACACACACACACACACACACACACACACACACACACACACACGCGCGCGCACACACACACACACACACAAGTGTTGGTGAGCGGCTCCGTGTGTTTTTATTTCTGCAGTGAGACAAACACCTCACATTGTCCAGAGTTTGTTCTTTAAGCTTCTATTAAATCCACTGTGTTGACGTATTGAACAAGTTTCCTCTACGCTGCAGGAGTTAAAGTTTACATTGCGGAGCAAAAGTTCGCCAGACGTGTTTGTTTATATCTGGGCGTTGGTCACAATTTGCAAATCACTTTTATTTTCCACGGAGATCCGCCACGGATTCCTCTTTCGGTCGACATTCTAGGAATCAAAATAAAAAACTTTGAATGATTCCGGGAAAAACTAACAGTTGGAACTGGTTCCAGTTGATGCTCGCTGCCCAACCCTACTCCTGGAATAGCATCATGTCTGACCCTCAGATAACCTCCAATTTCACCAACACACAAGTTTTCTGATTAAGGAGTCCAAAGCAGGAGGAGAGCTTTGTCATGTCCTAAAACAGGGGTCAACAACCCGCGGCTCTGGAGCCGCATGCGGCTCTTGCATCCATCTGATGCAGCTCTCTGTGCTTGTAAAATAATGAATGGATATTTAAATAAAATGCTTTATATTTTACTGCATTAATTTTACATCTGTATGCCAATTCTAAATGTAAAGGTTGTCTGCGTAAACCTGAACAGGTCCAACCCGGTCTTTACTGTGAGACCGGGTTGACGCGTCACGCTTGTGCGTAATCATCTGCGCTGTCTGAGCTGAAGAGTGAGATTCTGGGATTCTCCTCAGACGGCTCCTGGATGTGTCGCCACATTGGAGACAGGAACAAGCACTATTCAGCCAAAGTTTCATAATCAAGGAACATTTTCTAAGTGACAAGTCTCGCTTCAGTCGGAGGAATCTTCCCGCATGCGCTCCGGTTCTGCGATGTGCTCCAAGCCCCTCTCCACATCTTCAGCTCGCTGTGTACCATACGTATGCGCTGACAGTGAGCAGCACTGTCCAGTGTCCAGCTTAGATGTTCAGAAGGAAATCTTTTCTTGAGTGATTTAGCTACATCTGCGATGTGCGTAAAATAAAGTGTCAGTTTGTCTGCATGCGTCGGGGTAATTCTTTCTATTCTTTCTCCGTCAAAATAAACGGCCAAATACGGGAATTATCCGGTCAACACAACACAAGCCCTGCTTTTAACTGTTCTGTTTTCTTGTGAAAATGGATAAAATTAAACTTGATTAACACCAGAGCCAGGCGCACTGCGCCGTTATCTCCGTCACTGTAAATGAGGGAAAACAAATTGATCGGATCCTTTTCTGACCTTCCCCACCTACAAAGTTTAATTACAACAATCAAACGTGACAGAGCCTGGATTTGTATTCTGAACAGTCTAAACATGTTGTAAAAAGAAATGTATGACAAAGTGGCACCTGCTCAGTAAAACCACCAACAGGGTGAAAAATATCTAAATATTGTAGGCAGAGACGGGCTACAACTTCTGGATCCAATTTATATAAATCGTTTTATTGATTATCGTCTTATGAAAGATAACTTTGACGTATACGAGCGACCGGTAATGGCTGCTGTCACCTGTTGTGAGCAGCTCTCTGCTGTCTGAGGGTAGGCCCCGCCCACAACGCCGCGGCTGCTGTGGCTCCCAGTGTTTTCTTTACTGTGGGAAACGGGTAATAATGGCTCTTTGATGGGAACAGGTTGCCGACCCCTGGTCTAGGGTTAGCAGATCATCTCACAGGCAGGAGTTGGTGGAAATCATAGAACAAAGGTCCAGATAAAACCCGGTTCTGTTCCATCCCCACCTTTCCAATAAGTTTTAAATAATTGAATGTGGAGATGTGTGTCTGATGGAGAGCCTACCCACAAACAGCTGGCTGCTGAGCTGCAGGCGAAGGTGTCCATCAGCAGGAGCCTCCAGGAAGCGGAGGGGCAGCTGGTCCACCTGCAGGGAGGCCTCCTTCACGTTCCGCTCTGCCCTCACGTAGTGCCACTGTCTGTCATTCAGGGGCAGGTGGGACTTCACGGACAGGACCGCCGGACCGTTGCCCACATCAAAGGAGAAAGTCACCACCGAGGGAGCTGGGAGACACACACACACACACACACACACACACACACACACACACACACACACACACACACACACACACACACACACACACACATGACGGACCTGCATAGATCCACGAAGCTCAGCTGACAGCTTGTCAGTAATTCACAACGTGTCTGATGCTGCAGTAACACATAAAACCCCAAACATGCTCACGGCGCCACCTCTAGGTCTCTGAACACCAGAACCAGAACCAGAACCAGCACGCGCTGCAGCACTTCCTGTGTGAGGACGCTGACGTGAACTTTCAGCTCATCTTTTACAGCTTTTCACTGCAAAGTGAACACTTTTCTGTAAACATCTGGTTCCTCTTGTTGCGGTAAATCTGGGTGTTTTTATGACATCTGGAGCTTTATTAAGCTTTTATCCACGGATGACAGCCGGCTATTGCTGCAGAGCGTGCTGCTGGGATTACATCATGGTGCAACCTGACAGGCTGCTTCTCTGGGAAATTGAACTGTCAACGAGAGTACACCCAAAGAAGAGCAAAGTGTATCACTGATGGCTTTTTGGGCCATTTTTTCTGTTTGGACAGTCTTTCACGCCATTTGCAATCTTATCATGTGCTGCATTTTTCTATTGTGGTGTGACATTCACTCACAGCTCAGCTCCAGTCTGATGAAGTCCTTCAGTCCCTGGTTCTCCAGAAACACTCCAGAGGGAGTGCTGGTCTTGAAGTAAAAGGAGATATCAGAGGCCAGCTCTGCCTGCAGGGTGGGGAAGTAGAGGTAGGAAGACTCCTGGTAGAAAGAGGCCGCGTTCCAAATGGACTCTGGAGAGGAGCAGAGCTACGTTATAGTTTCATCATTCATGCTAACAAGCTCTGAACTCAACAGCAGCTTTGGTGCGTGCATCCTAAACATGCTTCTGTCTGTCCCATCCAAAACTAGACAAGAAGAAGTCACAGCTTGGGATTCCTGATGATTAAACTAAACCAGACTTTTATAAAAGAGCTCACATAAGTCTTTTGACTTTTCAAAACTTTTCTTTCTCTAACTTCTTGAGTCTGAGGTGTGAAGCTCACACCTGAAGATTTAATTCACAGAAGTTCACATCTTGGTCGTCAGAAGATAAGAAAAGTGTGGAGCACAAAAAAACACATTCTTAATGATTATTTCTGATCTTAATTAGTCACACTGAGTGTTTCATGCAACGTGACGATAGTCTCCTACACCTAGCTCCTTCCGACAGAACGTAGGCAGGGCGACTCTCGACACTTCCCCCTCCAGCTGAACTCTGCTGATGCAGCTTCTGGGCTTTCTCTCCCCTGAGTACGACTTACAGGCATAGAGACCACAGGTGTTCAACTCCTCCTCGAGTATTTGGGGTTGTGTGTGTGTGTGTGTGTGTGTGTGTGTGCGTGTGTGTGTGTGCATGTGTGTGTGTGTGTGTGCGTGTGTGTGTGCTTGTGTGTGTGTGTGCATGTGTGTGTGTGCGTGCGTGCGTGCGTGCGTGCGTGTGTGTGTGTGTGTGTGTGTGTGTGTGTGTGTGTGTGTGTGTGTGAAGCCAGCTGTTTTAAGTGAAAGGCTTTCAGGATTGAAGCTGCTGAGCGTTTTTTGCTCCAGATGTTTTACGGTGTGACAGATGTGGGCTGCAGGCAGGTCTGTTTTTATGGCCCAGCCATGCTGCTGAAACATGCGGGGCGTGCTTTTGTGATGTGGAGTAAACACCACAGCGTGGAACTTTGAGTAAGAAGCCTTTCCAGCTTTTGCAGACAAACTGAACACAGATGTGTGTTCCTGCAGGATTCCTAACCGAGCTCGGGTGGTTTTTTAGATCTCAGTTGTCCTTGTCTGAGTTTGACCTGCATATGCGGACGAACGGTTCTTGAGAAGTTTCCAGTTGTTCAGCAACTAGCTGTATGTTTGGCGGCCTCTTAAGCAGACTGATTTGCCACTTTGTTAGGCACACCTTTTCCATTGCTTCTCACCACAAATCTGACCCTGTGGACCCACATTCTGATGCTACTTCCAGCTGGACCGTGCACCATGTCACTAAAGCTCAGATAGATCATCTCTTCTAGAACATGACCATAGTTTCACTGGACTGATGAAGTCAAAGTGATGGATGGAGCTGCATTAGAGCACCCTGCTTCACTCCACTCTGCCTGCTGTAAGGTTTGCAGGAGAGCAGAAGGACTTCGCCTCTTTATCCAGAGACACACAAAGGAAAAACTCTTCCAACAGACAAGGACTGAACACTGTCTAAAATCTCCCTCCATCTGCAGCCAAATCTGGCACAGCAGCTGCAGCCCTGAAGTGATCACCTACTGTCTCCATAACAACGCAGAGGACCAACGTGGTAGACAGCCTCTGATCCCGTCCTGTTGGTGTCTCCAATAAAGATCTGGCTCACTGGAAGGTGGTCTTTGTAGGAGAGGATCCCCGTGTCATTGGCCCTGTGAGTGACAAAAACAGATGCATAAATCGTACAGCAGGGCCTTCGGGGGCTGGGCTCCTTTGTGGTGGTCCAGATAAAGTCTTCTATTCTTCTCCATTATCACAGAAGGCACAGTAAACAGTGAAAAGAGGCCAATCTGTCACACCACAGACAAGCGCCTGTGGAAATATGCAGACGGTGCTCAGAGCAGGGAGCTTTGGAGTAGATTACCGTGCTGCAAACAAAGACATCCGCAGCTCCTAATGCACTTCTTAAATGAGCCCCGATTCCTCCATTCACCATCAAGACATTATGATTAGGTTGACTATGATTGTGACATTACAAATGTAATTCATTATGTCGCTGTTATGCTGTAATTAATCATTTTAGAGGAAATGCTGTTGTAGGAAAAAAACGTAGAGAAAAGAGGCAGCTAACGATGTTTTAACCATTAGATTAGACTGACTGCAGCAGCTTCTTCTGATCCAGTCCCAGCGTTAGCTCCTGGTTCCACCACCCAGCTGGTCTGAGCACCTCCAGCTCTCCCGAATTCACCATTTTCTATGTAAATATTTGACGAGTCTATCTTGTCGTTCTATTAGAACAGGTTCACGCTCCTCCAGCTCACGTCTGTTCATGTCAGCTGACTGACCAGAAACAGGAAGTGCCATGGCTGGAGCGGAGGGCGGGGCTTATAGCGATAATCAAGACAGTTGTTTACCAAAACATGCGTGTTCTGTTAGTCATGCGGGCTTTTAGCACACCTGGAATAATGAAGTATAAATATTGTAGTTCTTTGGCACGATTCTTGTTTAATACAAACTCAGACACATCAGTATAGACGCCTCCTGGTCCTGGAGGGCTGGCATCCAGCATGTTTTTGTTGTTTCTCTGCTTCAACACGCCTGATTTTAACCAGCAGGTGATTAACAGGCTTCTGCAGGTGCATACCAGGTGATTCAACCATTAAAAATCAAACCACCTCAGCATCACACCAGGAAGCAGAAGGTGGCGCGGCACAATGAACTGAAGGAGATTTACTGAGAGGAGCAGCAGGAAAGGATGCTGGAGCTCCAGAAAGCTTCTCTAGAAAGACCCTAGTCGTGCAGCGATCACATTACAGCCGTCTTCCACATGCTCCACGTGGACATGTTCACAGTTACATTAACCGATCCAATCACCAGCTGCAGCGGCATCTTCACCAGTGGATAAGGAGAACCACGGTCATACTATCTGGGCGGTGCTAAGCCCTTGGTGTGTAGAATGGCTCCTCCTCTGTGAGGTGTAACTTCTCCTCCTCATTTCCTCTCTAAACAGATTTAATCAGGTCTTATTAGAGTCATTACACGATAAATGCATTGTTTAAGGAAACTTGTGGACTGTGAGCAACATGATTCTGAGGGAAGGTGGGACCTCAATCAATCAATCAAAGCTTTATTTATAAAGTGTCTTCCACAACCCTGTCAGGAAGCCCAAGGTGCTGAACATGGTACAGTAGAAGGTAAATATATTGAATAAATCAAAAATGAAAGCAATTCAAATTACAAAAAAGGTGAAACATTCTGGTACAGGACAAATTAGGAGTGGACTCTGGAGGTGTGCAGGCCTACAAACATGGTTTAATTAGATGCTAATGGAATAAATATAAACGGAAATCTTATTTGCTAATTGAAATGTTGAGTTAGGTGTGTGTGTGTGTGTGTGTGTGTGTGTGTGTGTGTGTGTGTGTGTGTGTGTGTGTGTGTCAGAGAGAGCACCACGCACCACGTGTCTCTGTCAGCGTCACAGTTACAGAAGTAATTCATGTCCATGCAGTTCTCCTCCAGGCTGCAGGAGCACTGCTGAACTCCAGGCAGGAAGCCTCCCCAGTAGCTCCGCCTCTCTCCTTCTCGATCCAGCCACCAGGACAGCGGACTTCCATCTGCAACATAAACCCTGCGTCAGTCAGAGCCTGTTTACATATGCAACACACACACTAATGTTCTGGTAGAACCAATGTTCCTACACTTATCTTAAAGACCAAGAGGCCATTTTCTTCACCTCAAAGCCAAACGACTATGCAGAAGTAGCTGTGGAGTCGTCATTCATCACTTTCACCAAGGTGTTTGGTGGTCCTACTTCAACCATCAATCATAAAACGTGACCCTCCTCTGCAGAGAGGCCAGCCCGGTGAGAGGAGCCCATTAGGCGTCGTGTCACAATCCATAATCAGGTGTCACCTGCTACAGCGCTCCCCTCCTGCATGTATCACAGCTCCATTAGGCCAAGCTTTGTGTGTGGATGCACATGTCATCCAGAGGTCTGAGGAAGCAAAGAATTACCTGTCCCCGTCTCCCTCCACCATGACTGAACTGTTTTTGATGTTTGATGGAAATTAGAACGACTAAAGTGGATTCAGTGGTGGAGCTACAAAAACACAAGTACCCAGAAACATTAGCATCACAAAGGCGCTCTCCATGCCCTTGCATGTGCACCCCTCTTCTACTTGAGCCATGCTTTCAAACAACATTCAAGCACCAAACAGGTTCACAAATAAGAAAAGGCAGCAATCAATAGTTCCTGTAGGGCAGGTCAGCCACCAGCTCAAATTGGCTCCTATTGACACAACTTATTCTCATCAAGAAAGCAAGCGTTTTACTGATGCACGGCACGCTGCGGGCAGCCTCGGCAACAGAGGAGGTGTTAACAGCAGCAGGCTTTTACTCTGAAACCACCAGGAAGGACAGGAGCATTGATCATATTGAAATAAGCTCATCTTCAGAGGAAAACAGCAAAAACGGAAACGCATCAGTCAGAAACATCAACAGAGCTGCCTTATTCCAGAGAGACACTCAACAGGAGTGTGTGTGTGTGACCCGGTTCCTGCAGCGATGCTTCAAAAACCCAACCCACCTGCTAACGCCGTTTAATAGCAGCAACCAAACCACTGGTGTGGCAGCAGCTGCCTATTTATACAGAGAGCAGATGATGTGTGATGAGAAAATGATCCCTGGAAACAAACGAGATGTAAAGTAGGACAGAGAGGACGCTGTGTTTTGTAGTCACGCTACCTCTTTAGAGGTTTTAATCAAACTGAACTAAACCGTCAACCTGGAACGGAACCAGCTCGAGCTGAACGATGGAAGTTGCACGAGTGAACTTCCGTTTTCCAGCTGAAGCCATCAACTGGAGGTGAACTTCGGATGTTCACGCCTGCATCTGGAATCCCAGAAGGCCTCAGAGTGCAGCTGCTGCTGTCGTCATTTTGTTGTTAATTTGCACGATGAGTGTCATTTTGTCAGAAAAGACATTAGAAGATGCCTTACACGCCGCTTGTAATGGTAGTTCGCATCTACACACTCTGAAGAGCAAAAGTCATGTGACTGTCTCCACTGGAGATAGTCAGACAGAGGCAGGCATTAGGAATTCAGTCCGAGTCTGGAGGTGTTCATGCAGCCGTAAGAGAGGCTTCTCTGATGTGTGATGCGATAATGAACTTATTTGCGTATGCGTTGCACAGGAGGGTGGCAGAAACCAGTTCTGCATAAATAATTCATGACTTGAGAGCAAATGTTTAGATGTTTGGGACCGGAGGTGTGGAGGAGCTTCCAGATGAATGCACATAAAGGCCTGCAGAAAGCCTCCTGATTTATTGTTAGAGTATGACGACAAGACCCAACAGGTGAAAGGGAAGTGCACGGCAACTCTCCGCTGGTCCTCTCTCCAGTAGCTGGGACATTATGGATGTCCAGCAAAGGGACAGGGTCAGAGTAAGAGCAGGGTGCTGCAGCAGGCAGACAAACGTTAGTACTATAAAGGATTCTTTAGCAGGTAGAAATCAGAGTTCCAACTTTTCTGAGTAAACAGTTACGTAATTGGCGAAGTTAAAGAAGGACAAAGTTCTCCCTCTCATCAGTGAGGGGTGAGCGGACTTCTGCCCCTCAGGTGCCTTCAGCCTGGGCGCACAGCTGCAGGTAGGAGTGTGACCAGGTCATCTTCTTCTCTTGTTCTGAGGGACTGGATGGACCAAGCAGCAGCTGTGTTGTTGGCAACAATGATAACCTCTAGTGGATTTGTCATAATCAGTGTGGATGTGCAATTATTTTCTATTTAATGATTCTTGTGAGGAAAGGAAGGATCAAAGATCAAAGGGAGGAAGAGCATCTCTGGCTCACACAGCCTGATGATGGGAGTCATCCATGCTGCTGCTCCACCACCTTTCACAACAAAACACCAGGGGTCTCATTTATCAAGCTTGCTTACGCACCAAACGGGGGCGGAAAACTGCGTAAGAAACTTTCCACGCAAACTTTGGGATTTATGAAAGAAAACTTTAAAAAATGTGCACAACTTTAAGTTGACTAAGGACCTGGCTTACACACATGTTGGACATGAAGAGCACCTGCAGTGCTGCTGCTGAGAAGATACAATTATGAAATCCTGCAGCATTATCACTTGTACTGCTTCGTTTACACACAGAACAAGACCCCCCAACACGCACATGTACACACACACACACACACACACACATGCGTGCACACTCACAGACACACACACAGCCCGAAGTGCAGATTACGGAATGCAGAATATCAGCAGGGGGACAGATTGGGACAGAACATCATGCGTCTGTGACAGTGTGTGTCCTGTCACTGTGACTCGATTGATGATGCGCCCTGGCTACTTGGACAAGGGAGATCTCTGTTTGGGTGACTGGTTAGTGTGTGTGACTTTCACCTGGGAGTCTGGGGATTGAATCCTTATTGGACCATTTTTTTTTATATCCGCCACAGATCTCTCTGAAGAACTCAGCATTGATGGCTTCAGCAACGCTGTGCCACTCTGTGGATTTTCTCTTATTTGTTTTGCAAAAGCACTTCCTTTCATTTCTCTACCTCACCCACAGGTACCTCAACTTCTGTGAAATTGCGCTTCCTTGATCTGCCTTGATCTACGGTCGCCATCATCATTGGCGGAGCGCTGCAACAAGCCGGCTTATGTATATGCATGAGATCCACAAGGCACTTTGCACTGACTATTTATGGCAGTAAGTGGGCGTGGTGAGGGCAGGATGTGACTAAAATGCAGCTGAGAAATATTCTCGTTAGTCTCCGATTTATGAAGCGGAGATTGCGTGCAGCTGTGCGTACTCCATGTTTGATAGATCACGAACCTACTTGGCGTAAGTTATTTTTTTTTTGCTGAGCTTAAGTACGGTTTTAGTAAGGATTCTACTCAATGTTTGATAAATGAGACCCCTGGTGAGTTTATGATGAATCAAAGGGGAGATGCATGAGCAGCATTTACCCAGAGTCACACATAGCTCTAATGACCCATGATGTCAAACAGGAAACCTCTCAGCCAGGAGGGTTTAAGACATGAGGCTAAAGTTAAGGATGTGAGCAGCATGCTGGAAGCTCCGCCTTGCAGCTCAAATCCATTACCCTAGAACTCCCAAGGCAGTCATTTTGACTGTTTTCATATTTTGATTTGTAATAACTTTAGTTAGGTGGATGTTGTCCTGGCTTTTGGCTTTTACTGTTTTTGTGTGTCCTTTATTTTTGTGTTATAATTTCCATAAAACAATGTATTGTAATGTCCAGAAATGGTCAGTTTTCATGTACACCTTGACCCCTTCAGTATCTGGTCTACATGGAGACAGGAGTCTACATTTGTGGCCTTTAATCTGCCGGATCCTGCCATTCCATCCGTAATAATAATAATATCTTCAATCATCTGTGCTTAAATCAATAAGGTTGATTGATATGTGCTGAATTACTGAGAGTTTGAAATGAATTATTATATTGAATGACTTATATATAAGGTAATCAGTAATGTTTGATATGACAAGGCAATCAACACCTACACTCAGACACAAGGTTCATTAGAGAGATACGTAAATTAAAGTTAAGTTAAACTCATTACACATAGATATTTCCTTACCCTAATTCAGAGAATCTGTATCTGAAAGAAGGCATGATGCTCTGAGGTTTTTGGTAACACCCCTTAACATGGCACGTTCTGATTGGACAAGAATTCATAACATGACAATATTAAAACAGAGCTCACGAGACGGTGACTCGGTTCTACAGAAAGCTACAGAACGGCCATCCGGAGCGACACCTCTTTAACCCTGAGCTTTTTTGGCAAGCTGTCAAAACCCTGTCAAAAACCTGGCACTGTTCCAACTCCCTAAGAGTCCTTCTAGACGCATATGGTTCTACACATCTGTTGTGACCCGGAAACATCTCTGGACTGGAGAGTCAGTGCTGCGGTTATTCTACAAACCTCTGTGCCAGAGATCATCCGACCTCCCTGACCTTCGGATCCACGAAGAGGGTCTTCCAAAGCGTGAGGTAGACACAACATGATCGCGTCTTGATGTGGTTTTGATAAGAATCAACTTCCTAGTTATTGCAAACCAAATTCTTTCCTTTTACACCCAGAACTCAGTTCTTCTAGATACGAAAGTTCTGATAACCTCACATTCACACATAGTCACCATACATCACAATCCATCCACCTAGATTCATCCATAACAGTAATATTAGTCAACTTGTCGTGTTTTAATTGTTTGGAAAATAAATTCTTGCTTTTTATCAGCCTGACTCTCTTCTTGAATCAGTACAAAATGTTCTACAATCCCTGAATAAACAAAGAACTCTAAATCTTCTGGTTAAACATTAAAGACCAATCAGACTGGATTTCCATATTTATATGGAAATTCACATCACATTGGTCAAAGTGTAGAGTAGTGTATTAAGCTTTAAATACATACATAGTTACTCTGTCTACAGTATCGCAAAAGCTGCTTTTGTCTTTGTCTGCCACAAGCCGGCAATTTGATGGCTCTATTGTTTACATAGTGAGGTATCATCAGTTTTTGTCCTTGCCATCATGGAAGTTTTTCCACTAATAACGAACAGCGTCGCCGTTGCTAAGCAACCAGCTCTCCAGCTCTGTGTGCTCACTCTCCATTCATACTTTGTGTGAAACAGCGTCTGAAACAGCTTTTAGAAGAACACTCTCAGTGAAACAAGCATGAGAAATGAATCTTCAGGCAGAGAGGGGAAAGCTGATGAAAACTGGTCGGTAGGAAGCGGCAGAGACTCTGACAGCAACGCGGAAGATGATCTGGGACCCCCCACCCATGGAGAAGATCCGCGTCGGTCACCCAGCAAACAATAGAGACTTTTCAAGGTTTGGATTAAAACTATATTTTCTTACCAAATTATTAGCTTCACACATCCATAAAAAGTTAATTAATAACGCTCCACAATGTATTTGTCTGCCTGCATTTAATTACGGTTGTGGGAGTTCTAGTGAAGTTAGAATTCTGGGAATTCTAGTGTTAAAAGCAATTCCGGTTTGGAGTAATTGCTCATCTGCAACGCTGGAGAAACTTATTTTGTCAAGTCTGTGCAGGTTCTCAAGTCCCTCTGGAGCTGGCTGGGCTTGATTCATCACCCAGGAACACCAGGGCTCCAGATGAGAGAATCTGGGTGAGTAACGAGTTAAGCTCCTGATTCTCCTAATACACACCTGAGGACCCAGCTCAGGATCTAGCAACTATCGTAGTACAGAGTGAGACTACAGGTAGGTCAAACGTTAGATTCACACACACACACACACACACACACACACACACACACACACACACACACACACACACACACACACACACACACACACACACACACACACACACACACACACACACACACACACACACACACACACACACACACACACACACACACACACACACACACACACACACACACACACACACACACACACACACACACACACACACACACACACACAACCGCTGATATGAGGGAACTGACCTTTCGTGTTGAAGAGTCTGGATCTCTTGCAGGTGTAAACTACTTCCTGTTGACACTGGTCGGACCCAGAGATGACGGCACGTAGCTGATCAGCTGACGCGTTGTAGCTGAACTTCACGTTGTACGGTTTCTGAGGAGAGGAGGCGGGGACTCTGACTGGAGATGTGCTGTTGTGGGACAAGATCGTCCACACTTTGTTCTCTACGAGAGAAACATCACTCTGGCGTCATTAAATCACAACAGCTTCAACGGAAAACAGATCTTCTAAACTATTCTGCGAGGACAACAGGATGAATGGATTAATGGGTGAATAAATGAATGAAATAACATTCAGACATAATGAGTAATGTTTAAACGCTGTTGGACTCTGCTGCACTCGCTCTCCAGGAAGGTGTTCTGTATGAAGCGCACCAGCAGCATGAATCTAGATCATCAACAGGTGTTATCTACAGCTGGCTGCACACCTACAGGACCAAACCAAGCAACACGAGGTCAACGGGCAAAAATCCTGCATGGAACAATCACGACTCGGTATTTTTTCATTCACACATTGTTGAATGATGCTAAAGATGTGTACAGATGTTTTATCCATCAAGTTTATTAGTTAACTCACTTTGAATCCGAGACATGTTTTATTTATGCTTCCTTTTTTTAACCAGGAAGATTGATTCAGATCAAAAACCTCATTTCAAGGGAGCCCCGGCTAAGAGGCAGCCAAAGATCAGGTACAGATGGTCAAGGAGAAACATCTAGATGTTAGTGGTCTCAAAGATTGCCACCTCCGCTGTTATATTTGCAAACTCCAGAATGGTCCGTGGAGCAATCAGATGAATTTGATTATTTAGAAGGTCCCTAACTCCCCTGAACCCCTTTGCCGCTGTTATAGTGAATGGGTAAGAACAGCAGACCTGATGCTTTAAAACAGAGAGGTGCATGACAGCTTGTTCTCCTCCACAGGGAAACACGCTTATTCATCATCGCTTTGATGAAAGGGATTTTCACAAAATGATCAAGGACTTCAGAGAAACAGGTGCCATTTCTCTGAGCAGTGTTCTTTTTGTCCAGGTCCAAAACAAAACTAAAAACTTCTATAAAACAAAACTATGACAAACATAGACGGACATGTCTGGCGATGAAGAAGAGATGACAACAAAAACTGACAAAATTAACTAAAATCCAATCAGAAAAAGAGAAGGAATGGAAAAAGGCTGCTGTTTGGACAAACTACCACAGACATCCTATGCTGATGCTGGTCTACACCGGTAACCGTTTAACAATCGTTGTCTCTAGAGAGAAAATGTCCACGGCTTGGAGGAAATCCCAGAAATAAACACAGCTGAATACAAGTCTTACCTTTAATTCACCTCCGCCATTATTAGAGTAACACATTTGAATGATTTGATGGTATGATGTCATTTCCTTTACAAGCACTATACAGATGTGTAGACTGTATTAACACTGAGAGACACAATGTCAGCTGGATCTGTTCATTTTGGCCTTTTCCAATAATTTTGATTAAAACAATTATAGATTTAGTTTTATTGATCCAAAATGTGAATTTTTCATATTCCACTAGAGTTTCAAGTAGGTGTAGTTAGCATTTCCTTTGCAGACACGGAAAATGAACGCGTCATAAGAAAAATACACGTGTTTTAGTCGACTAAAAGAAAACTAAAGTTAAAACAAACTGAACTACTAAATTGTGCCAAATTAAAAAGATTTTTAGTTAAAAGACTAAAACATGTTTGTCTAAATTAACACTGGTTATTAAAAAGTCCACAGGGTGCCAGGCCAGAAGAATGAAGTCAGAACTACGGAGATCAGGACCAGAACACCAACTTGTTGGGTCCAGGTCCGGGAGACTAATCCCACTGAGAAGCTGTGGTCCATCCTCCAGAGGTAGGAGGATGAACGCAGACCCAACATCGATGGTGAAGAATGACTCCATCCGTCTGGATCTGGACCACAAGCTGGTTTGCAGCTGTCAGAGTGGACCAGAGGTCTAGCAGAAGAAAGACCAGTAGCCATAGAAACATCTGTCTCAAAGCACTGAAAATTGGTGAATAGCTTGGGTCTTGAGTTTCTACTTTTAACACGAGTTTGGGTTGTTAAAATCCTTCAGATGAGATCAGACTGAATATTTGTGACAAAACAACAGTCAGACAGATAGTCCTCTAGGGCCCTGCACCCTCGCCCTGGTCCTCAGACCTGTCCTGTTGTAGCCTAACCTCTGCTCTACCTCACCTAAAAGGCTGAGGAGGAGCAGCAATCACTTGTGTTTGGTGTGATTGGGGTCAGGAAGCATTTGATTTGAACTATTTCCTATGTAACTGTTCAGGTTAATGGCTGGATGAAATCATCATCATCCTCCTCCTCCTCCTCATCATCATCATCTCTGGCGTGTGACACACTCATTAAGAGTCACATGCTGTTGTAAAACAGGGAGCTGCTACACAATCATTCATGGCTTGTGGCCCACTTGTGTTGCTTGTGACGTTTAACACGTCTCAGTTTTTCTGCATCACAGAAAAGCAAATGAACACATTTGGATTAAACTACGTGTAATCCTCGTCTGTCCTAATCTGTGAACGTCCCGCGCTCCAAGAACCACCTTCAGGGTTCAGCCACAGCATTCTTCCTGTCCTTTTAATATAATATACACAGAAAATACATTTAATATGTCTAAAGCCACGGGGACGTCATCTCCTCTTCACTTGGACTCATCTCATGATGAGGATTTATTGTTTACTCAGCTCCAGAGAAAATCCCCTTCGCTGTGTGATTATTCCCATCAGGCTTCCTGGATTATAGTTACTTACATATCTAATGGTTTTCTTAATTTAGGTCAAGCTGAAGCATATCTGGTGCTGACTAACTCAAATTTCTTAGAGGGAAGAAAACAACAACAAAATGATAGCAGTCTCCTCCGTAATGACATCATCTCCTCAGGACATTAACCTTGCAAGGGACGAAGCAGCTGGGGAAGTTGTGACAGCTAAGTGATGGATACTGTCTCCAGAGTGTCAAAACTTAGCTCACTATGCTCTGTCCCATATGTCATGCAGACAGGTCGTGCGTCCCTGTCTGTCAAATGTCACACCTCAGGTGAACCCGCGCACATTGTGTCCTGGCCATCAAAAGATGCAAATGACTCTGCTGATGGGTCATAAAGGAAAAGAACCCAAACTATAGAAGATCCAGAAGCCCGACAGGTCCTGATGGAAGACAGTGTTGCTGCAGAGTGAATGTTTAGGGGTAAGAAAGTGATGGTAGGATTAGCTGAAAAGCCCATCTGTCTGCTCTGTCCAAGTGTGGTCTGATACGTAACGCCTGTGTGATCAGATTATTAAAGACATGAACACACCGGCATTATTTGGCTGCAACAACGTAGAGTCCAACTTTATGACCTCATGATGATTCTGGAGTAAGTTAGTGGCTAGGTTCACAGATTCAGCTCTTCAAACCTCTTCTGTGTTTAGAGCAGGTGGAGTATTAGCATTTGTACCTTCACCATAAACCATGCATGTCTGCTGCCCTCTGGTTGGGGATCTACGGGTGGTGAGGGCCAGTTTTATTTCTTCATTACTGTTATGTTGTTGTAGGATTAAATATTAAGTTAACATTGTTGTAATAACATCGGCCAACAAGTAGTTCAGGTTTTTATCATCGTTTCACATTTTCACTTTTTATTTCTGGGGTGGCACAAGATATCTCTTAGCGGCAACGCTCAACCTAGAAAAAACAAAATGTCATTTTAACACACGCAATCCCGCAATATCGTTATGATAAATAATTATCCCAGCATTCACTAGGGTGGACGGAAACGTACCAATGCTCCATGATGAAATATATGATGATCAATACTACATAAATAATATAAACACACGACATTCATCATTTCAGCTCCATCACAGTCACTCCATGTCTTCCTCAGGAAATATATCAACCCGGTAAAATGTGTTTGCTGCAAATCTGAAAATACTCTGAAGGCTGCTAGTCCCTTTGATTAATGGCTGCGGCTCATTCCTGTTTGATAAGAGACGAGTTTACACCCCGGTCTGTCAGCGCAGCCAGCCGTGCAGCACACTGTTACCATTTTACTGTGAAATCGACCAAAACAGGGGCAGGCGACCCTGGTCCTAGAGAGCCGCAGTCCTGCTTGTTTTCCAACAATCTTTGCTGTTCCTGCTGTTGATTACCTGGATCAGGTGTGTTCAGCCAGTTAAAAGCTGCAGGTTCATGGAAAACATGCAGGACTGCGACTACCAGGGTTGCCCACCGCTGGCCTGAATAAAAGTGTTACAAGGCTAACAAACGGGCTTGTTTTGAGCAGCCACAACAGAGTTTGAACATGTGTAAACAGTCTTCACAAACACCAGCATTAGATGGGCAACCTCACAGGCTGCAAACGAGACTACCTCCCTCTTTCATTGTTTTGAAGAGAAAAGCTGATGACTCCCCGCCGACTGAGAAGGAAACGTGATTAACTAACCTTCCTGCCAACGTCACTGTGACCATTGTCTGTTATGAGATGATAGAACAGGCTCATTCTGACATATATGTACTTTTAAGGTCACCTGGTGAGTTATTTGGTTATAATCCACCACTGTTGCTCTCAGCACCATGATAACTTTATAACTGAAATTTAAAGCAGAACATTTGTGACTTTGTAGCAAAATATTTAAGCACAAAATACAAAATAATCTCTCTTTACTCTGAGAAGTTTTCACCTTTTCTTAGTGTGACTGTAGTACAGTAAAGTGACAACACAAGGACGGCCATGATCTCACCTGTCATGTTGCAGTACACCTGTGTGGGCCCCAGGGGACCACTCCCGTCTGGATCAATGAAGTAGAAGCCCGAGGAGCTGCCACTTAGCTTGTAGGTCTCACAGGACGACTCGTAAATGGCTGGAAGAAGTAAAACAGCCACAAAAACCAGTTAACAACCCACACCTTCAGCTGGATGCAACACACACACACACACACACACACACACACACACACACACACACACACACACACACACACACACACACACACACACACACACACACACACACACACACACACACACACGCACACACACACAGATGCACACACTCACGCGCAGCCTGTTTCCAGACTTTATAAACAGCTTGATGATGATGGCGTACTCTTCTGTGGGCAGCAGCCACTTCCAGATTCAGCTGTATTCACCAAGTGTCACAACCGACAAGTTTGACAAGACTTTAGTTTGTGTGACAGTGAAGGTAAAGTCTTATTAAAGAAATCAGTGTAAGAGGAGCCATGCACTCCTAGCGTCGTGCTTGTGTTGGAGCGAGGCAGCCATGTGGTGTAGATGTGTCAGCAGACGTGGAGGATTAGAGACAGACAAAATAACTACGTGAAACAGAAGAATACAGATGGACTTAAACAAACCAGGGGGCTTGATAAAAAGGAGAAAGAGTTTTTTTCACACAAATAAAACGCTGGAGGTTCCTGCATGAACATGGATCTCAACCCATCACTAAGCTCAGAGGTTACTGGTTAGTGCCAACCACTACAAAAGCTGCTGGCATCATCCACATTCTTAATGTGTTAAAGTACAAATTAACAGCTCCTTCAGAGCTCGGATTGTCCAGTAATCGGAAGGTTGCAGGTACGATCCCGGCTCCAGACAGAGAATTCTGCTGTTGTGTCCTTGGGCAAGACACTTAACCCACCTTGCCTGCTGGTGGTGGTCGGAGGGACTGGTGGCGCCTGTGCTCGGCAGCCTCGCCTCTGTCAGTGCGCCCCAGGGCAGCTGTGGCTACATCATAGCTCATCACCACCAGTGTGTGTGTGAATGGATGAATGATACACTGTAGTGTAAAGCGCTTTGGAGTCCTTACTCTGAGAGGCGTTATACAAGTACGTCTCATTTATCATTTAACATTATTTTTCTTCTTCCTTTTCTCTAAGTGCTGCTGCAACAAGCTAATTTCCCCACTGTGGGACTAATAAAGTCTATTCTATTCTATTCTATTCTATTCTATAACCACATCAAAATCAAAATTTCTGATTTTTGTGGGGGGAAAATGAATCCATATGCAACATTATAAACATCTGTGTCCTTAATGAGTTGGGAAGAGGAGTAAATTATAAAACTGATAATATGGAAAGAAAAAAAACAAATCAGACACATCAGTCATCTTCATCCATCCATCCACCCATTTTCATCCACTTTACCGGAGTTGGGTCGTGGGGGCAGTAGCCAAACAAAGAGGTCAAGGTTTCCCTCTCCTCAGCCAGTTGGGCCAGCTCCTCTGGGGGAACTCCAAGGCAGTCCCTTGCCAGCCAAGAAACATAGTCCCTCCAGTCCTGGGTGATCTCATGGGTGTCCTCCCAGTTGGGTGTTCCCGGAAAACCGGACCAAGGAGGCATCCAGAAGGCACGCTAACTAGATGCCCGAGCCCCTCAACTGGCTCCTCTCAATGTGGAAGAGCAGCGGATCTACTCTGAGCTCCTTTTGGATGACAGCTTCTCATCCTATCTCTAAGGGAGAGCCCAGACACCCTGCAGAGAAAACTACCGTATTGACCTGAATATAGGATGACCCTGATTATAAGATCCTTTCCAAGACTAATCTTGGCCAAAAAAAAAATCACTTTTTAAATAAACAATTTGTAATAAAAATTTGAGAACAAACACTGAGCAAAAATACTATTTTTATGCAAACTATCAGAACTTTGCTGACACGTTAACTCAAACGTCAAATGAGGCTTTAATTCAGACGCCCTCTGCCTTGCTGTACTCACTCACTCTGCTGCGGTCCCGGTGTGCCATCAGATCGCTATACCTGCCGACTCCTCCCAAAACGTCATCCTCACAGCCATCCAATGCATCCAGGCATGCAATGTTTGACACCTCTGCTGAGTTGACCACTGTCATCTTAAAATGTGCATAACTTTGCCTTAGTATGTAAACTGCCATTGACGACTAAAGTCGTCATTTGCAATTTTTTACTGTGTGGGCGTCGGAACGAGCCCCAGCACCATGAGAACAAACATCCCAGCTCTAAAGCCGATCTTAATCCACGTGCGTCACACATCATGTGATCAGGAACCAGAAAATCCACGTTAGGAGATCGTTTTGGGCCGCTGCTGTAAGAAAAGTGAGGCACAAACCAGAAAAGCTTCTGCCGATCACAATTCAACAACGAATCATGAAAGAACGGATAACCCTCGAAACACGCAGATTCTTCCTGATGTAAGAGGTGAGTCTACCCTTTGTTTTGGTGATTTTGGCGTTGACATCATCCTAGCACGTAACGTTCTATGACTTCTTAGGTGTGTTCTTGCTGTGTCATATCTCTAATTCCATGCTGTAGTTCTTTTATAAAACACAGAGCAGTTTTGTTTACCTGTTTTCCCGCTTCGTTTCGTTTGCGGCTATAAACTTCCTCAGGCTGACGCTCAGCTGAGCCTAGTAGCCCAAACTCTCAAAGTACACTCCAAGACCCTCCAGAAGGTATAGAGCTGGTTGTGTTCCACGGCCAGAACAAAAACCAGAGACCCTCCTTTCCAGAACCCCTGAATAGACCTTACCAGAAAGACTCAGGAGTGTAATTTTGCTGTAATTGGAACACACCCAGTGGCCCCCCTTTTTAAAAAGGTGGACCACCACCTTGGTCTGCTAATCCAATGGAACTGCCCCCGATGTACACACATTCTTGCAGAGCCATGTCAGCTAATACAGCCCCACAAAATCCACTCCAGGAGCCTTGCCACAGAGGAGTTTTTTGACCACCTCAGTTTCCTCTGCCCCATAGATTGGAGCGTCCAACCCAAGGTACCCAGACTCCACTTCCTCACTCGATGACATGCCGATGGGATTGAGGAGGTCTTCCACGTATATGGCATACATTCTAGGACATACTCAGGTGTCAGGTATCAGGTCTCAGGTCTCAGTGTCAGACTTCAAACCATGGGGAAAAAAGCATCAGGTTTCAGGAAAAATTACTTCAGGAAACATCCTCAGTTCTCAGTTGTCAGTTCTCAGGTCTCAGTTGTCAGACATTGTCTGTGTCGTGGCACTTTCAGACAATAGCAGGGGAGTCGGGACAACCGTGGTGTGTGTCCCGCATCCCAGCCTCCCCAACACCCCCGCTATTGTCTGAATGCGCCAGAGCCACGCCGAGCCGACCCAACTCCATGCACCCATAGCTCGCTAACCCCTTATCCTGTGCGCCCTGCCGGTTCCGAAACAGCCTGCACCTATAAAGCGACCCCCACCCTAGGCAGATGGGGGAGCGTGGTGACTGGGCTGTGGACGGCCGGCGGGACTCTGGTATGGGCACTTGCGAGGTGCGGGACGTGGAGAGGCCCGGCGTGCTCCTCCGACACCCTAGAATGTTGTCTGAAAGCACCAGAGCCACGCCGAGCCTACCCAACCCAACTCGCTGCCCCTTTACCCTGTGTGCCCCCCCCCCCCCAAACTGCCTGCGCCTATAAAGCGGCCCCCACCAGTTTCCAGACATCACGAGTCTTATAGTTTGACAAAATTTGTCCTGAAGCAGTTTTTCGTGAAACAGAGGCTTTTCCCCATGGTCTGAAATCTGACACCTGACAACTGAGACATGACAACTGACAACTGAGACCTGATACCTGACACCTGACAAATGAGACCTGACAACTGAGACCTGAGACCTGACTGAGACCTGAGACCTGACAACTGAGACCTGACATCTGACAACTGAGACCTGACACCTGACAACCGAGACCTGACATCTGACAACTGAGACCTGATACCTGACACTTGAGGATGTCCTAAAATGTACGCCGTACTCGTACTCTGCTCACCGATCCACATCTTCCCAAGTAGAGGTCAGCAGCACATAATTACCAGTGTAAACAGTGTTGGTAGTGCACTGCTTAGCCTTTCTGAGATGCCAGTTGGTGGACCAGAATCCTCTCAAAACCATACAGATGTCTTGCTCCATGGTCTCAACAAACTCCCCTCATACCCAGGTTTTTGCCTCTGTGACCACCTGAGCCACATTACACTTGGACTGTTAGTACCTATTAGCTGCCTCTGGAGTCCCACAGGGCAAAAAGACCCGATAGAACTCTTTCTTTAGCTTGATGGCATCCCTAACCTCCTGTGTCCACCAGCGGGCTCGGGGGTTGCCACCACGACAGCCACCAACAACCCTGTGACCACACCTCGCGTTGGCTGCCTCGACAATGGAAGCACAAAACGTAGCCCAATTGGACTCAATGTCCCCCACTTCAATTAGGACATGTGCAAAATTCTGTCATAAGTGTGACTTGAAGCTCCTTCTGACAGGAGACTCCGCCAGACGTTCTCAGCAGACTCTCAATTCGTTTAGGCTTGCCAGGTCTGACCGACATCCTCCCCCACCATCAAAGCCAACTCATCACCAGGTAGTGATCAGTTGACAGCTCCACCCCTTCACTTCACCCGACTGTCCAAGACATACAGCCACAGGTCAGATGAAACAACAGCAAAGTCAATCATCAAGCTGTGGCCTAAAATATACAGGTGCCAAGAGCACATATGGACACCTTTATGCTTGAACATGGTGTTCGTTATGGGTAATCCATCCAATCCAAGCACACAAGTCCAGTAACAAAACACAACTTGGATTCATATCAGGGACTGTTCCTCCTAATCACACCTCTCCAGGTCTCACTGTCATTGCCCATGTGAGCCTTGAAGTCCCCCAGGGGAACAAGTAGGTCACCAGAAGGTGACCCCCTCCAGCAACCTCTCCAGCTGGGTAGTCTGTTCTGCAGTTTGGTGCATAAGCAGAAACCAGTCAGAACCCGTCCCCCCTACACGCAGGTGAAGGGAGGCTAGCATCTTGTTCACTGGGGTAAACCCCAATGTACGGACACCAAGAAGGGCGCAAGAAGTGTGCCCAACAC